TATATATATATATATATATATTTGTATCGAGTTGTCTCCTTCTGTGCGTGCTTCTTCTTTGTTTATCAGTCCGCCTAGGGAAAAAGAGTTTATAATACAAAGAACTATCTTGGGGCCCCGAAGGGGCCCCCACACCAGGGCCCCCGTACCCTCTAGGGCCCCCTATACCCTCTAGGGCCCCCTGTACCCTCAAGGGCCCCCTGCACCCCCAGGGGCCCCCTGTTGTACCCTGTGGGGCCCCCTGCTGTACCCTATGGGGCCCCCTGTCCCCAGTGGGGGTATAAATGCCTTCTGAAGCCCTGAGTACCCTTTGGGGGCCCCTTGGGGGCCCCATGGGGGCCCCATGAAAAGAGTAAAGGGGGCCCCATGGGGGCCCCATGGGGGCCCCATGAAGAGAGTAAAGGGGGCCCCGTCTAGTGTGCCCGTGGTGGGTTTTTCTATAATCCCTTAACTAAAGAAATAATAAATTTTACAAATGAACCCACAAAACGCATGCAGAGGCCTCGCACTAACTTTTGTTTTTTATTTAGGGCTGAGGGGGGCGTACAGGGGCAGTAGGAGGAGGCAGCACAGTAGGGGGGGGCCTCATTACATTCGATGGGGACTGAAACCCTTGTGGGGGGCCCCCTGGGGGCCCCTGCGGGGGCCCCCCTGGGGGCCCCTGCAACCCCATTGGAGGCAATGGCCCTGGCATTCCTGGCATCCCCATAGGCCTCGGCCCCGGGGGCAGACCCATCTGGGGGCCCCCTCCTGGGGCCCCCATAGGCGGCATGCCAAGAGGGGGGCCCCCGGGGGGCCCCGGGGCTACAGGGGCACCAGGGGGCCCCATGGGAGGCCGCATGGGGGCTGGCATTCCTGGGGCTGGCATGGGGAACGCTGGGGGCCGTGTAGGGGCGGGGCCTGAAGGTACCCCCTGGGGGCCCCCAGGGGGGCCCCCCGGGGGCCCCCCAGGGGGGCCTCCTGGGGCGCCACCAGGGGGCCCCATGGTCGGAGGCCTGGCTGGGGGCATTGGGCCCCCTCCTGGCATCATACCCACACCGGCTGGCATTGGTACAGGAGGATGCATAGGACCTGGGGGGCCCCCCATGTTCATGGGGGCCCCTGAGGGGCCCCTCGCATCGCCAGGGGGCCCCACGAGGCCCCCTGGGACCGGCCTGGGGGCCCCCGCCATTGTAGGCGGAAGAGGCAGAGGAGGGAAAGGCATGCCTGGGGAGAAGACAAACAGCAAACACAGCCGTAACACCCCACTATGAACAACCCACAGCAGCAGCAGCAGCAGCAACAGCAGCAGCAGCAGCAGCAACAACAGCAGCAGCAGCAGCAGCAGCAGCAACAGCAGCAGCAGAGAGTGGTAGCTTCCTTGCCTGGCCGCGGCATAAAGAAGAGAGGAGGAAGAGGCAGAGAACCTGGGGGGCCCGACCCCATCATAGGCAGCGGCAGCGGCGGTAGGGGGGCCCCGGGGCCCCCTACCCCCGGCGGCAGAACACCAAATGCTGCAAGCAACAACAAAACCCATCATTTATATATAAAACCAACAGCAGCAGCTGCTGCTGCAGCAGCAGCGGTAACGAACAGAACAGCAGACGTACAGAAGCAGCAGCAACAGCAGCAGCAACCGCAGCAGCAGCAGCAGAAACAGCAGCAAAACACAGCCCCATCAACAAGGATAAAGGCGACAACAGCAGCAACATCAGCAGCAGCAACATCAGCAACAACGGCAGGAGTAGCAGCAGCAAGAGAAGCAGCAGCAGCAGCAACAAAAGGAGTAGCAGCAGCAACAGCAGCTTACATGGTGCAGTCGCTGGTTGCTGCTGCTGCTGCTGCAGCGGCACGGGGCCCTCCTTGGGGCCCCCCCCGCCTCCTGGCCTTTCTATCGTCGGCCGGTTTGCTGCTAGCAACCGCTCAGCAGCAGACCCGTGTCGCTCGCCTGCAGCAGCATCAGCAGCAGCAGCAGCAGCAGCAGCAGCAGCAGCAGCAGCAGCAGCAGCAGCAGCAGC